TTTTGTTAATTCTCTAAAATGTGATATCAGCGCCATGTTGGGTGAAATGTCTTCCACAATAACCCAGTTACTCTCTTCTATCTTTGTTGGGTGTCCTTAACTCTAGCCCCATGTCTTGGTGATAGCAATACTCAGCCAAGTTTTTCTACCTCTAGTCCTTTCCTTGTGAACATTTTGCTCATGTCAATGTCAGATTAGTCCTTGGAATCCATTACCTTGTGCACATCAATCCTAATGATCTGTAACTTTAAGGTTCAAAACAGTGGGATCTGCAAGGTCCCTTCCAGGTCTGTGTAACCTCCTGCTGGACCTGACAAGATCATCCTCTCAAAATTTGCCTCCAAGAAGTAGAGAATCATTGTAAAGTCTCTTGAACTTGAGGGCACATCATCATGATGTGAATCCTTATCTCTTCTGTAGCAAATATAACTTCTGGCAATTAACTCCTGCTGCCTCAAAGTCACCTCTTCAATAAGGTTGGAAAAGTTATTTTTTTGGAAAAAGACCCTCTTTATGACAAAGTTGAAAAAATCAAATGCAATTATTGCTACAGAATGCCCAGCCATAGTTCATGCTAAATAAATGTTAATATATTATAAATTTGTTTATATTGGACAACTCAGTGTTTAATATATTCCCTTCTTCACTAGATTTGTGTAAGACTTAGATTTCTTCAAAGTCTTATAAGGTGCCCATTTGAGGCATGAAATGGGTGAGCCAGCGGTCTCCATAGCATCTGCCCTGTATTTTCTCCTAGACATTCGGAACACTTTGCCTTCAATCAGCATCCATTCTCCAGGTGGATGCTATGTGCCTATTTGTGGGCCCACAAAAAGTTGCATTGCACTTTTGATGTTTGAAAATGACAGATTTTGAAATTATTTCACCAGTGTCTATGGGCAGAATAGAAGACATGTCACAACCCAAGTGTTATCTTATCGTGTGTGAGCGCAGAGACTGATGTCTGGATGCTGGATATAGATCCGTTGGGGAGCTGTAGTTGTTAGAAATGTTTCAGGATCTGGAAGGGTTTGTCTGTGTATACTCTAGAACTATAAGAACACAGCATCTAGGCATTCATCAGACAATGTACCAATTCCACAGAAACCCTATATATGTTCATGTAAAATTTCTAGTGATTTTACTTCAACTGTATTTCCATCTTGGTTTGCTGTTTTGTACTGCAAAATAGTCTTGTGGAGGTGACCAGCTGGGCTGGGTGAGGCACTCATTTTGTGCTGCCACAGTGAATAGGTTCAGCGCCCACAACATCACTGATAAGTGTGGCTTTTTCAATTTTGGGAAAGAAGAGTAACATGGAATAAACCACAGATTAAATCAAACACATTTCCTCCCTAAGTCACACATATTAGCGGTAATAAGCTCAAGAAATCTAGCAAGAGCTACCGAAATTTAAGACATTTCTGTTATTCAATAATATCATTAATTTGGAAAAATGCCTTCATAAAAATAACTGCTTCAATCACTGTTGCTGATCCGGTAAAAAGAATGTGAAGGGCCTGAATTCATAACCAATCCATGGACTCACTGAGAGGACTTTGTTCAATATTTTGGAGATGGTTTTACTTTAAGGGAATTGGATTATTTAGTAATATTGTTTTGCTAGTAGACACACTGACTCATATCACAGTCATCCTAATCACCGTTCTTCTGCATGCCCCAAAACGAAACTCAGATTGCAGGGTGAAGTGCAATGTTATACAGGAAACAAGGGCCAAAGCATCTAGTGCAATAAATTAACACAAGGTGATGCTATTATAAGTAAGGATGATGTCATTAAAGTTACTGAGAAGTATGGCCAGAGAAAATTCTTTCCATCTTGAAAGGGCAAGTAGATTATACTTGAGGATATTATATCGAACACTAAAAGTTAGTACGATATAAGCATAGTTGCACACAATCCTCAAAGTGTGTATCGCATGACCTATTTCAGATATCATGTAGAACTAGTTTCTTAACATTCTCATATGGTATAATTACTTACAAAGGAAGATGCTGGGAGACAAATCACAGCTAATATGTAGCTGATATTGTTATAACTATTTATGTATTAATGTCAGAAGAGTATCTTAAATATCTATGAAGAAAAATTAAAAATAAATATAGAAGTGTTGTATATCCTATAACCTTTTAATTTTATGCCCAGAATCCACATTTTATTTCCAGTTCTCTCAAGTCATAGTGTCATTTAATGTATGTATTTTCATGTATTTGCATTAAAGTAGCATAAATCTGTACATTGAAAAGGCCAGCAAAACTCACATGGAGACATCCGAGGAATTCCTATCCCAGTTATCCTCTTTGAAATGGAACTTTTGCAATTCAACTATATGCCTAAATTCATATGGTTGTCCTGTCAACTGCATTGGTGATACAGCTGTTAAACCATCCACCAAAGTCCCCAAAACAATAGCAACAGATACAACAAAAGACAAGATCTTCAATAGAAGGTTCTGAATATAATGCTCCATTTCTAATTTGAATTGTAATAGACTCTGAATAAAATTATATACCATAATTTTCATAAAACAATATTTCTTTTTGGTAAAATTAATAATTCAGTTCTTGAAAATTTCAATGTGCTAGTATTTAAAAAGAAACATTTATTTCATCTTGTTTTCTTGTCCTAAGAGATATTGGCTACCCCTGAATCAATATCAACATCCTTTCTCCTAAGAGCCACTCAGATAAAAAATAGTCAGAAATGCATCTGGATTGAATAGTGAGATTTGACAGCTCTGGGTTAACATTCAACCCGGAGCCCAGTTTGCTAGGAAATATCACGAGAAAGTTCTTGATTTGTACTTATCTGACAAGTACCGTTCTTATCTCCCATTTTTGTTTAGGCATAATTTGACTGATGGGAAGATGTATAAATGGCAGTAAGCCAGAGGGAGGAACTAGACAGAGGATGATCTCTGGCATTTCTGTTGCAGGAGCCACATCCTCAGCAGTGCACTGTATGTATGATCATTTTTATTCTTCCTGGAGGGTTTATATTAAAATGGCTATTAACAAAAACCTCATGCTATTCCAGACTTGAAGAAGTATAATAATATTATATCCATTAGTTAGATAATCAATGTTTTAAAGGACAAATTATTTCCTGTATGGCATTTGGATGCTCAAATTTTAGAAAGGTGAGTGGTTAAAATTTCTGAGATCATGGAAATTTTTATACACCCTCTGTCCAGCATGAGCCTGAAATGTGGCTAGGCTAATGGAGAAACTAAATTTAAAATTTTAATTTATTATACTGTGATAAATTAATTTAAACTAAAATGCAAATAGCCAAATGTAGCTACCTTACTATTTGGATCAAACCAATTTTAGAAGTTTCACACAAAAGTAACAAAGAGTTATTATGCAATCATTAATTGTATCAAAAGCTACATGAATGTGTACTAATATTCATGACATGTGATTGCAAGAAAGTGTAAGTTACAGATAAATCTACTATTTGCCAGTTGAAACCATATCAAGCTTAGTCTACTTAATATAAAGTCTTTTCCATGTTATGGTTTTAAAAGAAAGGGGAAAAAAACCCTAACAGGACATAGTCAATTACTTCTGTGTTCTGCAATCAGCATGTACCTGCATTACACTATCTGAAAACTACAGAAAAAACAGAATGGAGACTTAAAGACACCAGCCATGACATAACAACAAAAACAGCCAGGAGCATTTAATGGAAAGAGAGGACATGAAGGACTGAAGAGAGACTTTCGTTTCCAGTGCTATTCAGAACATGAGGCGCCTGAGTCAACAATCAGATAAAGTAGAAATTTTAAAATATGTTTTGCCAGAACAATAGATTGCAACCACAGGACACTCCTAAAGCTTCCAGAGCCTTTAAACATATTCCACTTCAAACTGTCTTGCACATACATGAGTGATCCGAAGCCCATGGAAGCAAAGTTTCCATGTTCCTGAGATATAACCAAGCTTGGTCTCAGATGTCCCAGTTTACATTTTCTTCTTCTGACTTTCCCCTGGTTCTGCAGAGCACAGACTGACTATCAAATAGACAGAGGCTCATATTCATTCCCACTTCTCCCAACTTCTGGTGAGTAAGAAATAAAGTATTTAACAAGATGCTCTACTTAACATAAAAGTTCCCTTCACTAACATGGCATTTCTAAGACCATGCAATTTACACAGTTCACCAAGCATGCTGTGGAAAAGGAAATTACAAGAGATATTTTACATGAAGACAATTTTGAATTTAATGTGCCTTCTTTTAGAAAATTTACTTGCACTATACTCAGAAATGATATGCTCTTGTGATAGTCCCAAGTTTCAGAGCAAATAAATAGTCATATTATGTTTTTGTTGATTTATGGAGCAATGAAACAATATTAAGATGAAAGCCAACAATTATTGATCACAAAAGAAATTGTCATCTCTTTACAGCTAAAACTTAGCTCTATCATCTGACTCAGAACTGTCATTTTATGGGAAGAAACCTGAGACAGCAGATTTAAATTACTGTGCCAAGTCATAGAATTAGGAGGAAGAATTAGATTTGAGGAAGGATTTTGGTCTCCAGGTTCAGCACTTGCTATTAATTTAGAGACCACTATGAAATAGATGTCTACAAATCAGAAAAGGGGGGAAAGGATGATTATTCTGCCACTGTTATATTTCTTTTAAAACTCTGATATTTTCAGTTTTATTATTTTGATATAAGATTTCCCATCCTTTTTTAATTTTGCGGAGTAATGGTAGAGGAAAATTATGTTGCAGGAGCTACAAAAAAGATCAAGAAATAAATTTGCTTTATTGCCTGAGTTTTATAAACTTTCTCAGTTCTCAGATAATATTTTACAGATAAATGCCACACTACTGCTGATAAAAGCAAAAGATAAATAACACTGCACATTTTAAATATCACGTACATTGGATTTTATACTGTGCACTTTTAAATGAATCTATAAAAGAAAGAGAAAATGCTAAATAAATACAGCGATGGGGCTTACATTCTGGTGCTGCTGGTCTTGTTGATGATAACAGATTTTCCTGTTTGATCCACATTGTGATCCAATCCAAAGTAAGCTGCCACCCGATGGACAAGCATCCTCTGATACGATGACATCTGAGGGAACTTTTTATAATGGTTACTGGAACAGAGTTACCATGCAAAGTGGAATCAGCATCTTCATTTCTCACCTGACGCACATTTTACAGGTATAGGTATGAAACTATTACCCTTTCATCCAAATCGCCAAGCACATTTCACTTCTGAAAGAACTTAATGTCCTTATTTCCAGACAAATTTTGCACTTATTGTAGATTTATTGATTAGGCTACAATAAGTATCATTCTTTCATAGCTGCACATTTCTCTTGCCAAAGAAAATTTAATGTCTGTTGGAGGATGTTCTATTTTAATCCATGATACCTTATCAGGGGAGCCAGGCAGAGGACAAATGATACGACATAATATGTGATTGCAGATGCCTATCTGGAGATGTGCTATTACTGGGTTTACTCTGAAAGCAGCACAATTATTTCCAGGCATAACTGACGGCAGCCAGCTGGAGCCCATTAAAAAAACTATAATAAAATGAAAGGATCGCTTCTTGTTACAGCGACTCTATGCTAATCAGTGGCCCTCTGTTTATAGCCATTTTTTCAGGAGTTTAACAAGCAGGAGTACACATGGTCCAAGGAACAATTCTCATCAACATATGACTCCCAATTCCAATATCATCGCCATTTAGCAAATCAAGAAACACATTAAACAATGTTCTATCTATCCATAAATCTTTCCAGAATGAATAATTTAACCCAAATGCAAAACTAAGACAAGTCATAAAATTATCCAGCATTGTAATTTAACATACTTGTTGTCACCAATGAAATCAATAATTTCCTGCTCCATTTTCAAAAGAATCATTCTGTCCCTGCAAAATAAATGTTAAAATGAGAGGTTTTATGTATTTTAAGTTTCCCAAGTATAAAAACAGTCTTTTAAAAGTATGGAAGCAATTATTAAAATGTATGTAATTAGAAATTTACACCTAAGGTGTTTAACTTTCTTGGAATATGTAGAATATTTTATTTACATATTATTTCATTTTATGTATTACTTTTTATTAGTTCACATTCATAATGTAGTACATGTTTACTTTTGGAAATTGGTGTCCGTACCTATTTTGCTCATTTCCATCCCCTTAGCCACTTCATTACCTTCCACAGCTCTTTGTCCTCCTTTGCTATGTCCAAGAGTATTTTCTGGTTTTCTATACTGACAATTGTTCCTTCATCTCATTTGTTAAGTGTTATATAATACAGTGTCTAAATACTGTGGTCTCCATGTTAATTATATCATAATGTTATTAGAATCATACAAGAGAAAAAGTTACATATTTTAAATTAACAGGAAACTGGAACCAAATAAAGTACAAGTATTGACTATAATACTTGATTTCTAAATTAATAAGAAGTGCTGAACCTGGAGACCAAAATCCTTCCTTAAATCTAGTTCTTCCTATAGATTGGCATAAAACAGTATTAAAAATTCAATAGGCTTATCAATAGTGGTGATTTTTCATTATCAACCTTTTTCAGTTTAAGATCTCTTTGTTACTGGGAACATAAAGCTGGTATACTCTAATTTTTTGTTATGTGACTAACCAGGAATTATGATTGTCTGTAAACAATAAACATAGAAACTATTAACAAGGAAAGAGAAAACACAAGAGATAGATTAAGAAGTTAAGGAAGGTATCTCTTTTTTAAACTGTCTTCTTAGACCTGTTCAGATTAATAACATTAAAATGTTCTCTTTGCTCTAAAAAGAAAGGTTTATTAAATTATTTACCTGGAATTATTCTTTAACGTATTAATCAGAAACTCATGTAAGTCTATACCTGTAGAATCTGTATATTCTTGACTGCAATCTGAAACAAATAGCAGGGTGATGCTGTCAGAAAGGAATGTGGAAATGGTGGTAGAAAAGATTTTTCCCAACTGTTCTCACTTCCCTCCTATTCAGGTAAATTCTAGATGAAGTTATTGATATGAAAATACATATTTCAAAACTAGCTACATAGCAGAATATAAGAATAAATATGAAATTTGAGGATTAAAAATTCCTGACTGCGGAAAGACCCAAATGTTAAGAGGGGAAGTGGCACCAGCTGCGTTGAGTCAACTGTCCTGTGCTCACTCTGTGCAGCAAATCAGTGCAGGCTCAGACTGCTCGGGCAGGTACTGCCTGCGCAAGACAGATCCCACGAGCTGGAGAGGCCAAGAGGCAGCAGCTTCTCCTTAAGCAGAGAAGGTATACGTAAAACTTCTCTCAGAATATCAGTAACTTAAATTTTAATCAGTATAAAACAGAATACTCAATATTTTCAAATCTTTCTGATCTCTTAGTGCTAAAGATTAGCTTCTATTACCATTTTAGAAATCTGAACTGCTTTAGATTGGCATGCATCTTGAGTTTTAGGTACATATTTGCACAAACAACCATAGTGTGTACAAATCGGACCACAGAGCATGATCTTAGCAGCAGTTATTATTCCTGAATGGATTAGATGTGTAATTCTTTCTTAGTTTCATTTAAGAAACTGTATCAAAGGCTATGATTCATGACACACTTCTTTTCAACTTCAGTTAGTTTTATTTTGTATAGTGTTATGTATGGCAGCAATTCAAAGGGGCTTGATTATAGGTTTGCAGATTTAGGAAGAACAATTTTGGGGTGGAATTCTATTTATGGAAGCAGAGTATGTTTCTTCAAAATGAGAAATTATGTGCCAATATATCAGCACAGAGACGGAAATCATCTGCACCATGAAAGTGCCAATCAGGTTCCAATGACATATATGTCTGTGCTCTAGGGAACATATCATTTATACAAGGAGTGCTCTTAATCCAGGTGCTACCATTTTTAAAGATAAACATTAGAGTTAAGATATCAAACTTGGCATCATTACTGTTTATCAATTCATATAAATTTGTCTAATAAATGAATTTGAAAACAGATTCGAAATTACTCCCTTGTACAAACATACAATTAAAAGTAGGAGATTCAAGTTTGAATCTAAAGAAACATATGATCCTGGAAGTAACCTCTTTAGCTACACAAATAATGGATCATGAACAGAAAAAAAAATCAAGTTCACGTCTTTTACAAACACATATCAATATCAATATAAAATTATGCACAGTTTTTGGGAGGTGATTTGCATGAATGGTCTATAATGTGCCCTGGGACCGCACAGAAGCCAAGCTGAAGCAACTGAGGAAATGTTTTCACATTCACCTTTTGATAGCATTCTGATCTTGGGTTTTTCAGAGGACTTATCTTTGTTTTTATCCTTTTCTTTTTCTCTTTCAGAGTCATCTTTCTTAGGCTTTTCCTCCTCTTGTAGGCTGGGAAAACTGGAAAGCTGTAAATGAATTGATTCCTGTTGGGGAAAAAATATAATAATTTAAGGCCAGATGTAACAATCTCTGGCTGGTTTCCATTTTGCACAGAGGTTATTAATAACAAGAACATGAAAGCCAGGTGCAGATTTTTTTCTTAAATGGTAAAAAATTAAAGCTGTCAGAAAATAATTGCCCTTTAAGGTAAATTGAACTTCAGAAGTCAATGGGAGGTCAGGAGAAACACCTAGAACTGAAACTTTGCTTCATGAATATTAATCTTAACTAAGTTAAGTTCCTGCAGATCACAACGCCTGATTCTTCCACAAGTTTATTTTTAAATACATAAGAGAAACTCCTGTATCAGTAAGATTGCATCAGAGTCCTTGTCATGTACAAGAAAGGCTTCTGCAACATTTTTCTCAACCTCCTTACAGGGAGAAACTGGCACAAACACAGACAAATTTTATGGATTATAATCACGATAAAAGAAACACAAAAGTCCCCGATAGCCAATTTATAATACAAAATCTATTTTACAGCCCTGTCAACAATGATTCTTCCTACTATGAAATGCCAAACCATATAATTATGGGAATCTCCAGTATGGATTACTTTAATTGTTTATAAATGGCATTGAGAAATCATTTTAATGTATAGTTACAATAATTGACTTTTAGAAAATGTAGCAAGTTGAAATAGAATTTTGCAAATTATACAATATTTAACCAGTTTTATGTAAATATTAGTTCTTTCCAAAATATGATCTTTTGAGCCAACACTTGGTATAAGATTGACCCTCTATAACATTAGAGCAGGGTAAAACTTTATATTCATTTATTTTATCATAAAATAGGTGATTTTCCTTCACATTCATCAGCCAATTTTTTGGTAGTACATTTACTGTTTTGAAGAAGAATGAACCAAATCATGTTTTTAAAGATATTTTTTAAACCTATGCTATGATTAAAACTATGACAAATTAGACAACATTAAGCCCACTTGTTCTTATGTAATAGATTGCTTGGTAGGGAAACTGTCTCCTACTGTGATATTAAAATGTATGATGGGGTGGGGGGAATATTCCAAGTGACTAATAGTGTCTCTCTTGGAAAACTAAGCTAATGTTCTTTCCACATGTGACTAAAATGACGCCTGCACCTCCTCTAAGTGTGGCCGCTTTGGGATTTATAATGGTTCTTGGAAAATCTGTTAAATAGCCATTCAACAAAAGCTCTGAAGCCAAATCTCTGCTGAGAGTGGAGTGGAAGAAAGGGGTTCACTGTGAAGTCTTGGCTAGAATGAAGTTATCATGTGTGGGGGAAAAGCTCGTGATACAGATGGATGAAAGAATACATATTCTAATCATAAATATTTATCTAAGCTGGGTTTTCTGACTTCCTTGTATTTCCTGGGGATAAATATATACGAAATATGTAAAAAATGAGTGTAATTTGATTAAAGAGTTTTGTTTATTTTAACCCATGATCTGTGGTAGAAATGCCTTTAGCTACAAAGATTTAGGCAGGTTATAATGTTATGATTTGCTTCTGCTTGGTCAGAGAAACACTTGCCTGAACATTTCTGGGTTAGAAAGCATGGCTGGAGGTGTAGTTGGGGAAAGTCAACTCAGTGACCCAGAAGGGGAAGGTGTAGGTAACCAGGCAGTAAAAGTAGTTTCATTGCTTCTCCAAAATGAACTGACCCATCCAGCCTCTGTAAATTTGAACCTAAAATTCAAGTGGCTGGCAAATACATCACAAATGCAAGAGCAGAGGCTACAAGGACATCACCACAAAAGAATGTACACACCGATGCCATGTGTTGACAAATAGTGTACTCGGAAAAAAAACCTATCTTTTATATACATAAGTATACATTATTGTGTTGAAAGAACACACAAAAGTTCTTTAGAGTTGGTAAAAAACAATCTGTAATTTTTTAATATTTTTATTGATATACTCAATAATAAAATACAAGTGTTAATAAATACATTGATACAGGATAAGTTTATATCCAACAACAGTAAAAGAATGATTCAAAATGATTCAAGTTGCAGTAACACACTGATAGGTAAATACTATGACATTAGAAAAGCAAACTTCCTTTAACTTAAGGACAGACTGAACCATCAGATATGGGGTCTGAGATCAAGTAATACAGGTAGCAAAAGTTTTTCCCACACAGGAAAATGAAGGCAGTTTTCCAAATACTGTGAATATACAAACATTGGGAGAGCATTACAATCCATGTACTGTGTACTTCTGCCATGGTTCTCTGAGATTCAGTCCACACATTTTGTAAGTGTCGGTGATATCTAATGAAGACATTGCATATAAGCGCAAAGATCTGCTTCTTTATTGACTAAAAAAGTAGCTTGGCTGCTTGCTTAGATGTGTGCCTGGGTATTTTCTACCAGCCCCCTGCCCCCACCACTCCTCAGCTAGCTAAGGAAAAGCTTTTAGGCCCTAATATCTCCTACAAAGCTAGTCTTGCTGTCTCAGCTTGGAATCAGCAGGAACAAAGCACCGTTTGCATCTTATTTCTCTGTGCCAACAGTATGGAGAAACTAGACTTAGATCCAGGCTGGGCACTATGATACAGATGATCTCTTAGAATTTTTCATCCTGTGCCTTGTCAAATGGGATGCAAAACAGATTAAGTCTACAAGAGGCTGTCCTCTGCCTGGCAGTAGAAGGAGGGACAACTGGGGCATTACTTCTCCTGGGGATCTGTCACTCTGCAGAGTTAACATATATTATGTGCAGCACATTACAAGCCATCAATCAACATTTAATAATACAAGCCATGATAGTCACATTAGTCCTCCTTTTCAATCTCCATTAAAAATAGAAGCACAGAGAAAATGCTGAAGAAAAGCCACACATTCTCGGAGCCCAAGTAAAAGAAAGCATGTGTATGAAACAGTAATAGATACCGACCAATAGCCTTTCCATGCCTTATGACGTAAGTGGCATGTTAAGAAAATGAGGCCAGCAAAAAAAAAAAAAAACACTCTTAAGACAAAAATCCATAAAGAATTTATTTTTGGTCCTTTTAAAGAAAGTGCTCTCAATGCTCTCTGTATTCATGAAGAGAATGTAGAGTATTTCAATTAAAGTAAAAAGAAGAATACAAAATAAAATCAAATGAAAATAATGATGTCTTACTCAAATTTTCTTCCCCTGGGCTCAGAAAAATCTAAAATGATTTCTAGACAATGGCTTTTGTCTTGACTGCTCTCAGTCTACAATAAAATGAGCAAAACTTCAGCAGCAAGACAATTTTTATAATGGCTAATGTAATGCCTACATGGCAAGCAAAGATAAATATGATGTGAAGTTTTCTATTTTGTCACAGAAGAGTGTTGTCTGAATTTAAATTGCTAGAGCCAAATAATCTTGCTGAAAGGAGCAAAAATAATGGTAAGTATATGCAGTGATATATTAATAACTTCAGCTTAATCACAATCAGCTCAGATTCACTTCTGGACAATTTCTGCAGTGTTCAGAAATCTCCACCTAAGGCCATAGGATCATTTCTCCAAAGTTCAATGCACCTTATTCACTATTCCTTAAGTTTCATATGAGCCATCAGCTGCTTCTTATAGGCAAGTGCATTTTAGGGAGCTGAGAGGTAAGATGCCTCCAATCAGGAAGGAGACAGATACTTAGGCTTATATTTGGTTCAACCTTATCAAAAGAGAGCCTTTGAGGAAATTCAGCACTACTGTGCTTTCTTTTTATTTAAGTTTTTAATCTAAATTCGTTTCAATTCCTTTCCGTTTGAAGTTTTCAGAGAGTCTGGAAAAAAAACAAATGTAATACTCTGTGATAAACTTTTAAACTCTTTCAAAATTTCTCATAAGTTAAGAGTGAAACAAGAAAACTATTTCTCTCTTCAATTTTATTATTGTCCCCCAAAACACCATTTAATGCCGAATTCATCATGCACACAAAAACAGATCTGGTGCATGCAGTTAATGATAGAAACAGGGGATGTACCTGATCCTGAAGACTTTCGCCTCCTGGTCTGGCCGAGGACTCTTCACAAACAGCAAGACTGCGAGTCAGTTTACCTTTCCCTGCTCCTGACTGAAAATGGAGGAGATAAGGGGAAAAGAGGGAAAATAAAGAAAACAAACAGCATTCTCAGGCTGTCAGGCCATTTCTGGATTTACCCAACACTCTCAAGTCAGACTTTCAAAACCAAGCCCAAGTCTGCTGCCCAGTGTGGTCTGTGTGGGTGGAAAGCTCCAGATGACTTTGTTGTTGGGGATGAAAACGGAGAAGCACGTGAGGGGATGGGTTTAAGCTCACAGTGCCTGTCACACAGGCAATGGGAGAAGAATGATTGGTGCCGATTTTATGAAAGTATTAGGAGAAAACACTGACAAAGTTAACTTCCACTAAAGTAAGTGTGGAGGGGATTTGACTAAGATGATTCAAGACTGGGTACTAAAGAGCAGGATATGTTTATTTTAAGGAAATCAGTTGGTGAAGCTGAAACATCTATTTCAAATTTTATTTCAAATGAAAAAAACAAGACAAAACAAAACAAAAAACAAGTGGCTATTTTTTTGGCAAGGCTCCAAGCATGAAAAGAAGACCAAAAATATACATTTGTAGCCACTCGAGCTCCAAATCTGCTGATTAAAAAGTTTATAGAGCAAGTCAGAAAGATACTTCTGAACACAATCACTCTTACAACAGAGCACCAGGACTCTCAAGAGTGCCAGCACACAGCAATCTGAGCTCTTCACCAATCCTTTAACTCTAATATGAAATACACAATTTACAGCCATGATATGGCAGTCTGTGGAGCATCTCAGAACCTTACCTTGGATTTTCTTCTCTCTTGATTCTGAGCTGCCAGTCGCCTCTGTACGTTAGAAACAAAACAAAAGAAAAAGTAAAGGGGCAGACAAGTGTGTGTGTGTGTGTGTGTGTGTGTGTGTGTGTGTGTGTAGCATCACTACTGCTTATGTAAGAGAGACAATATTAGAAGAAAGACCCAAATACTAGAAGGATTTCTCCTTCCCTCGCTCCACAGAATGTGTAGTCTTTGAGTGTCTCTCTCCCCCCAACTGCAACAAATATAGGAGAACAGAAACCTGGCCTTTAATGCTATCGGTCTACAAAGAGTTAATAATCTTATATTTAGCACCAAGAAAATCCATACTTACAGCCCATTTGCAAGTTGCATTTGTTTTCACTCTACCAAAACTCTTCCTCTTGGGTTTATTTAATCATGTCTTTATTTTTCCTTCTATCACTGGAGCTCCCCATGCCCAACCCATTTTCTGACGTTCTGACTCTTTAGCTACTTTTCTAGGGCTTAGACTTATTGTGCTGTAAGATTTAAACTTTAATCTGCTAACGAAGGTCAAAATAACTCTTGTCTTGGCCATTCTCAGTCAACCAAGAGTCGAGTTTCTATCTTCCCATGAAATATTAAATACATTTAAGAAAAAAAAATAAACTTAGCCTAAAATTCCCTTTTCAGATCTGGCACTGACAGTTCTAGGTGAGCTAGCAATTGGTACTCGAACATTCTAGGCAAATTCAGTAAATGAGGTTTTTAAAGTCATTTTTATTTTTTTTTCATTTTTATGACAGAATATATTCATTGGGGAGAAAGAAAGCTCCTGTCTGAGAGGGGGACAGAAGGGGGGCCCAAGTGGGTAGTCCCCTAAATTCATTTTTAATTTTAAAAGACATTTCAGAGTATAGTTCAGAAAAAAGGCTAATAATTGAGAAATGAGAGGATTATCAATAAAGATGCACTCATCGATTGGTCAAACCTTTTGAAAAGAAGAGAAACAATTAAAGTATCCTAGAAGTAAAGGAAGGGAATGGCACACAGAGAGAGAAGAAAAAGGGCTTTCTCCAGGCTCACCTGCAGCTCCAGCTTCTCCTCTTCATCCAGGCTTTCTGATTTAACCACGCCGTTCTCTGGGGTGGCCGCCTCCTGCTCAGCCCTTCCTTCCTCCACAATGGCCTGGTTCAAGTCTCCTTGCTCAGACATCCTCGCAGATGCAAATTAAAACAAAGTCTTATGCTCTAGAGGTTAAGATGCCAGAAAATAAAGTCAGTGCAGGTGAGGATTACACTACTATTCCTAAAATTCATTTCTTCTTTTGTATTCAAGTTCAAATGAGCAACTCAGACATTGTCCCTATTTTTGTACAAAAAGCCTTTTTGATGAAATCAAATATCCAGTGGACACCTAGGTGGCAGATGGGGCTGCCTCTTATAGGTACACTTGTGATCCACCTGGCCATCAGAATGGTCAGCAAGTCTTAAACAGAAACATGTAACTTCCACACAGTTACCAACCTTATACCCCTTACAAGGTAAAACAAGCTCAAACTCTTGAGCAAATGTTCCTCAAAGTCTGAATCAAAAGGTGGTACTTATGTTCCTTAGCAGCTCTGTGATGGCTCAAAACTAGTTTTAAAGTTTTAGTCGTAGATTTACTTCCCTAGGTAAAAGGAATACAGCACACTCTACATGGTGAAAAATCAACTGGGAAGGTAATAATTCAGTATAAATATGGGATCTAATGTTGGCAATAAACCTTTCATGGTCAACATTTTCAGCCTTCAAACTGACAGCTCCATTATTAAAAGCATGAGCCCTTTCCCAGACTCCTGTCAGTTGCTGCTGCTGCAAGATTCTGCCAAAGGAAGCCTTTGGCAGGCAACTCTAATGAAGCTATCACCACTGAACTCCAGTACTCCAGGCTCACAGCAGACTCTATATGCACACTGGAAATGGCCTTTCAAAATTAAAGCCTGTTATTATTTTTTTTTCCTGCCATACTTCCTTAAAATCTCTGATACTTCTCCTTCTGAACTGCTGTCAAATGAGGCTTGTGAGTAATTTAACATTTATTTCCTCCTCATTTTTTCAAACTATGAGGAAGGAAGAAAAGAAGGAAGGAGGGAGAAGAAAGCAATAATGTAAGAAAGAAAGGAAGGAGAGAAGGTCTGAAAGGAACGAAGCAGAAAGAGAAAAAAATCCTGTAACTTAGCAATCAATTATTTCTCAAAAATTCCCAAGTAACAACTGTCCTATTCCCAGTCCTTGCAATGGTAATTATTATTGGACAGATCACTGCTTTTACACATTCTTTGAAAGTATTTCATTGTCATTTACTAACTTGGAAATTTTATTTCCAACAGGAAATAAGAAACAGGGGAAAAATTGACACCATACCAATTTTTATTGCAAATTTGCTAAAATCTACCGTGACAGAACAGATGGCAAGTAATGATATCTTTAAAATATACAGGCTCATTTGGCAAAGGATTGTGGGAATGTAAAAGGGAAAGTTTTCCCAAAGGATAATAGTTTGATCTGAGAGTGAACAGTGAGGTATGTTCCTAAGTTTGGGAGGCTTTGTCATTGATTTTTCTCAAATTTTAGTCGCGCTCAGTATATGTGATTAATAAAATAAAAAAAAATTGGTTTCCAATGGTTAACAGCTTGTTTTTCCACATTTTAGATACAGGGAAGAAAAAAGACTTCCTGTTGCCCTACGTTGCTTTTGAGAGCATTTCAATACAACAGATTGTGACCAGATTCAAAATTTACTGAACAGACATAGTTCAGATTTTGCAAACAACAAGCAAATGAGTCCCTGATCTTGATCGTGTCCATCATGGTTACAGTGAGTGAATTATTCCACACATAAACAGGCACACTTATGTAATAATAAAATGCGGATGAGATAAAAGCAGACCTTTACCTGTCACGCAGAGTTCCTGCTGTAGTTCTTGGCAACTTATTAGCGGCTTCTGTCGTTCTACACCGGGAAAATCCACACAAATGATCAGAGGCAACTGGAGTCCCATGTCCCCATTAACAGTGTGGAATGCCCATCTCCACGAGGTTCCCTTACACACTTTGACACATCATCGTCAACCTGGAAAAAGATGAAAAGTAAATAACAATTGTAATGATCATGGCAGGGCGAAGGACAAAATAAATGAGACTGGGTTTCTAAAACTAATGACCAGCTTCCAGCAAATCACGTTCACAGCTCCACTCAGTTCCACCTGTCTCAAGCTGCCTGCTTCTTCTCTAATGAAGGCTACAGCCGGCTGTTCAAGTCAGAGCGGCACCCACGCAAGGAGCTAAAATTAACAATTGCATTATGCACTGAAGATTACTCACTTCAATTTTAACCTTTTTTAGTGAAATCTCGCACTTTGTATTTAAAAAAAAAAAAAACAAGCTTGTGTGTTTGCCTCAATGAGAGTCAAGATCACCTATGAGCAAATCTTGTTTCTTTTTTTTTTTAACCAGTCTTTGTTTTAATTATAGATTAATGTTATACACTTTTTTACTGTTTCTGTGACTGGTCCTTTATGAAAGTTTCCTTAATGAAGAATTTTAAAAGGTTTTGATTTAATGATCCATTATCTAAAGTTTTTAAAATAAGACAGGGTACAAGAAAAGTTTCATAATGGTATGGCTGCCAGAGCTCTTTCTTTTCACTCAGGGCTGGGGGAGAATTCCTAATGTTCTCATTGCAGTTGCATGGTGCAGCCTATCTGCACCCATCCCTCCCCATCAGGAGCCAGCTGAGCATTCTGTCTGACAGGAAAGAAACATTGTCAGAGGGATTCAACAGATTCTCAAGCTCCTAGCCTGTTGAAAACAATCTATGCTCTAATATGTACTTTCTTTTTCTCACAACTCCTACAGGAGTAGCGGCAAAGACAGCTTGAATAGAAACATAGAGATGGGCTTCTAATAACATTTGCCAAAGCCAAGCTATATCTCTTTTTTTTTCTGTTCTAATTTCACTTGAGTGTTCATCCAATAGCTCAATAGCACATACACATCTTCTGCCATGTTCCAGGCTATGAGAATACTAAAGGCATCCCACTTATTTCCTCTGAAGACTGAAAACTTTCTTCCTCCTCCTAGCTATCCCTTCCCCAAAAGTTGATGTGAGCAAGGCTGGGTCCTCACAGGATACTTCTGTGGCTATGTTAACAAATTGGGTTACAAAGCCATTTATTATTCAAGAGGAGCACAGCTGCTAAAGATTCAATCATTTGAATGAATAACCAGTCTTGAAATATGAATCTTTTGTTATGAGAAGTCATATACTTTTTGAGTGATAAATAAGCATGAATTCAGAGCAAAATGAATTGCTAATCAGCAAAATTTAATTTTTAAAGTTTGTTCATTTTTATCATGGCTACTATAGCTTACAATATTAAATATCATGTATTAAATTATGATCTATGTAATTAATAAACCCATTATCTAACATGTCTCAGAATAAACATCAATGATATATGGAATTACCAAATGCTTCTTGAATTCTATTTTCCTCTTCACAAGTTGAATGAAGTTGTCCACAATTATTGCAAATCTTTTACCTTTTTCTTTCTATTGTATTTGTACAGGGAATTTAATCCACCAGGAGGATAGCAAAGCAGCTTCAAATCTAAGCCTTAGATACACTATTCCAGCTTCAGTAGGAGGAGGCAAGATATAATTCTCTCCATGAAGAAAGAAATAACGAACTGATATTCATGCAACTAGCTCAAGTGCTAACAGCCTGGATATATGGGTGTGCGTAATTACCAGCACACGTTTGGAAATAGCACTGAGCTCTGAAGCCAGTGAGGTATTATTGTTGCATGCCTGAATCATAAAGTCATCATCCACCAAGATAAAAGTGAATATGGGCATATGGGAGTGAGCAGAAAGGAGCATATGGATCACAAATATTTTTGTAACTGGTTAAAATTGTTCTCTTTGCTATGACTGCAGTGCCAGGAAATCAGCCCTACTCCAGTTTCTCTTCTCCAAACTAACCTCACTCTTCCATTACCATTCAATCTGTCTGTTCCAAGTTTAATCATTTTCATAAAGAACAAAAGGCTACATATAACAAAATTTTGTGCAATATTTCTCTGAATAAATACTCTGATGACATTTTATTTTTATAATTACAATAATGAAAAAAGAAAGAGGAGACTATATACAAATAGGTCAAATAAAAGTTACTCTAGATGTTCTGGTGAAAACAATATTGTAACCATAGTTTTGTGGACATCACTTAGCTATTTGCAATGAAGAAAATGACTAAAATAATCATGACTTTATGTCATACTTATATTGTTTTTTATTTCTTTAGATTGACTTAGAACTGAAATAAGAACAAGCGGGGTTATGTGTATATGAAAAATGGAACAACAAGATGGGTACAACGAAAGAACCAAATACTGCCTTTCACTACCACCACCAAATTGTGTCCTAATTGTGTGTGTGCGCATGTGTCCGTGTACTTCACATACTGTATGTCTGTGTATATTATGTGCCGTACATTAATCACTGTGCTGCCATGCAAGCATAGCATTATTAGCATCTGACTCACATTCCAGCAGGGATTTAGTTCTCAGAGCATACTAAATGGAAATTAAAGTGAATTCTATTTGCATGTAGTAACAGTCCTCTTCTTTGTCACTTTCTTCACTTTACATTAAAATTAACAGACATGACTAATCTTCTCCAAAATCAATCTAGATTCTTTATAATCAAACAACAAGTTAAATTTTACTTATTTGGTCACTTGAAATGTTTCTCCCACTTCTCCCTCTCCTTTTGTTTTTAGCTTTCCACAGTTCTGCAAACTAAAACCCCTTGGGCATTATAGCAGCAGTAGTGTCAATTTGTCACATAAGGTTTATAAATACTGCAAAGTCATATAGACCAAACTGCAACAGATACTCAAAGCATTTAATGTTCAAAATGAGTTTGAAGATATTGAAACACATTAAAGTTTTTGAAATGTAGTCCTTGAGAAATAATAGGCACAATAACTATCCATATGAATTATGTTAAATTTTATAAAAAATTGAAAATAATTGAGAGATATAATGGGATGAACAAAGTACATAGCTCAATATGTTTACCTTTAGCAAGTTTAAAATTTGCCCAGTGTGACAGAAAGTATCAATAAGACATTTTCACATAAATTTAATTTCCTGAAGAAAAATTTTTTGTATGTAAGTATAAAGGATATTCAACCAGGAATTCTTAATTGGACTCCTTTTGAACTACCAAATACAGAGGCATTCTATAAAATTATTATTATTATTATTTGTATATAGTACAGTGTCTACAGGGTCTCATTACACAGGTTGGACTCCTAGTGATTCTCCTGTTTTCAGCCTCCCAAGCACTGAGCTTACAGGCCTGCACTACCACACCCAATCTCAATCACCTCTCAGCATGCCCTGGGGGTGGGGCCAGCATGGCCTGCAGGGGATCAAACCCCAGCCCTTATGTCTGCTTAAGCAGGAGCTTTAATCTGCTGAGTTATCTAGCTGGCCCTCTATAGAATTCTCAAGCTACCATTTAAATGACAAAAGTACCAAAAAACTATTTTGGAGGAAGAATTTAGGATGGTAAGCACCTATCCATTTAAGAAAAAGAACCAGGATTTTAGAAAATTGAAATATTTTACATAAACATTCTTATTTATGCATGACCTAAGGGCCAAGCAGTTTTAAAACACAGAACCTGATGTGTAGACCTTTATCTTTTCTTTAACTGTAGTAATTGAGATAAGAAAGTAGTCTAGAGCTGCACATTGCAAATTCCAACAATGAAAAGAATGCATGAAAAGGGCTGGAGAGATGGCTCAGTGGTCTAAAGCACCTACTTAGAACAAGCTTAGCAAAAGCATTAGGGACCGCGGTTCAATCCCCCAGC